CACACACACACACACACCATTCCGAAAGTACGGGAGTTATGATCCTGTTCATGCATGTATGGTATGTGTATGAGTGAGTGAGAGTAAGAAGAGCATTGATGTATACGTGCACGTGCGTGTGTTTGGAAGTTGAGAATACAGGTGTGTGTTTTATCGGACACTGAGACACAAAAGAGAAAAACGAGGATTTCCTCCAAAAAGACCGCCATGAAGAAAGTGATCACGCCCACGAATTCGCACTCACGCAGACAGACACTTACATGTGTACGCGTGTAAACACACGCCCTCACACGCATACTCACACGCACACACACACACGCACGCACACACACACACACACACACACACACACACACACACACACACACAAACACACACAAGGGAAGCATGCCAGTTTGTCACAGGCCTCGACTGTGCCCTGCATGATGGAAGTTATCACTGACACTCTCAAAAGGAGTAAATGAATGATTGATTGATTGTATGAATTGAACTTTATTTTTCAATAGTTTTTAACGAAAGAACATTCATTGTTGAAATTTTACAGAGTAATTTGCTTTGATTTGCATTCAAAAAGGAAGAAATATTGAGCAACACAAGCCGAATTGACATTTTAGAGGGACTTTCTCTACACCACCACCAATTTGAAAGTGGAGAATAAAAAACTTAAGTTACAACTACAGTATTAAAGTGCTGTAGTTATGACTGTAATGAATACTCAAATACTTAAATGAAATTGTGACAAACTGGGACTGTGACAAACTGGGCCTGTGAGAAACTGGGCAGCTCCACTCACAAGATGTATTCTATCGGTATTCTTACCTTCAGTCAGATTCCTCCCAGGGTTAAAAGCCCCTCGTGGCACGCTCGGGGGTATGAGATCACAGCTGGTGTGTTTGGCGATCTTGCAGCCGTACAAATTGTGAGACCTGAAAGGATTTGTTTTCAATTAATTGAATGAACACATCAACGCGAAGTAACAACGACAGTTCGAGAGCATAATATAAGAAGGCAGAAAACGATTATTTTTTTTAAACGAGGAAAATAAGAAAGGTTGCAATAACAAAAATTAAGTGGATTAAGTATCAGTCTTGCTGAGGGCGTCAACAACTGATTTGACCCCATCCCCCCCTCCCCAAAAAAAACAACCAAACCCCATGAAGCAGGGTACTCACTTGAAATCTTTGCATGGCATTGTGCAGCAGCTATATCCCAGCGTGATTGGTTGCTTCACATGAAACTTGTACAGGCTTTGAACGATAATCTTGTTAGTTTTTAACACTTGCAGGTATCGGTCAAACCGAGCCTTTAACCGTTCTGTGATCTGGAAAACAACAAAGAAGAAGAAGACAATCAGAACAGCAGCTAAGTCACTAAGTGACTAATGACAAACATCCTTCCAATCACTTCAGGAACACAAAAAAACAACGTCATGAGACATTCAAATTACTATCGCACCCCCCACC